CTTTTATCTTGCTATGAGGAGAAGTTGGGTTTCGAATGCTCTTTTAATAGCTTGATGCTGACATACTTTTCATTTCGTTTGAAAAGGCAGATGTAATGGAATCGGAAAGTAGCTTCACCAGACATCTAAGAACTGTCTTGAACTTGTGACCTTTGGAAGATCTCGGCTCAACGTCGTACTACTAAAAAAGATTGTGCTCTTTTTTGAATTTTTGGCTACAATGTTGTACCGCATATGACGGACAACAGTTCAATACTGACTCATCCGTATCACAAGACGAGCTGAGGTCTTTCTTACACATTCCAGCAATCAGGTCAAGTGAGATCTTTCTTTGATGTCCGGTGAGACCAGTTTATCGAATCCCTTCCACCCGTCTTTCAAATAAATGAAGGATATGCTGTTATCATTTTGTTCTTATGCTTTCTTGCACTTATTTCATCTGTTTCCTAAAGTATCTAGTGAGGTAATCAAGCATAAATCGCACTCTAAACTCAATTTTATTTTTAATTAAAAAGGATTTGATTATTTCCCTGCTGTTTTTATTTTAACTGACCATCTTCAATATTGGAATATTATAAAATATTCTTTTTTCCCCTTGACGTATCTGTGACTCTTTCATCGTTATCCAAAAATTGTCTTAAGTAGATCCAAATGTTGTGTCGTTTTGTTATGGTATGCTAAGTCTGTTAATATTTTTACTATATCAACTTCGTAATTTCGCGTTTTACTATTTCTTCGTGTCTAGTCGGTCAAACGCGTCACAACAACAACAACAGCCCCCCCCGCACTATTCAGGACAAGCCCAAGGTCATTATTATGGTGGCCGTGCTTTGCCTGCTGGTGGTGGCTCTTCTGGGGTTGATGGGTTTGCCGCTCAGGACACCCGAGGCGGTGGTGGTGGGCCCAGAGAGCGGCGCAGTGGCCAGACTGGAGGTCACAGTCGTGGGGATACACGAGGCGAAGGATTGGCTGAGAATGAGTCAGTCCAAGCTCCACACCAAACCAAGTCCGGTCAGTTAATTTCTAATACATTTTTGGGACATTATTTCCTTTAAGTATCTAATCCTTAATTTGGTTTGATCTTATTTTTGCAACCTGGTCGGAACGTCAGGGAGACCTTGTGGAACGTATATCTAGTCCTGCTTCCTCTGCCATAATATTCGTGATTTTCCGCGTTGAATCATTGAGTTGGTATCAAGTTGCGAAACGACGTCAAGACATCACTATAAGGCTAAATGAGCCTGCGACTAATTAGAAGGCCCCACTATCCTTGTTTCAATATATAAGATTTAATCATTATTTTTTATTTTTTCTGATATAGCCGCTAAATACTAGTCTTTATTTTATAGCACTTCAAGAGATTTTACATTTGTGATCATGATATTTATTCTACAAGAGTTTCTAAATACCATCTTGTCTCTCATTTTACTAAGATAACCTAATCTCTGACGTTGGAAGTGCTTTCTTTCCTGTTTTTTTTCATTTCGATTCATTCCTGATTATACTCTGCCTTCGGATTTTTTTCTAATTCTATTTTAACTTGCAATTGCTTATTTATTTTAGGACACTCTAACAGCAGCGAGTTTTCTGAGCACGCTAACTGGTCCTCGGCTGGTTCTGCACCCGCACCTGCGCATCCTGGAAGTCATGGCCAGGGCCGAGGTCGAGGGGGCGGGGGGGGTTCTTATAGGGGTGGATCTCGATTTGGCCAGCCAAGTGGGGCTGTAAGTAGTGGTAACAATGAAGCAGTTCGGCCGCAGCATCAAGCCAATGGTGTCGCATCTGTTCATCAGTGACTATTTGCAAGCATCCTCGCATCTTAAATCGTTCCGCTTATATCGATAAATTTCTTGCCTCATCTCTATTAGTCTTCTATTTCTGCTATTACATACATCCAGTGCGATTATTTTAAATATTAGCCCTCTTCGCCTTTTAATCAGTCTGTCGGTTGATTGACTGGTCTGTGTGTTTATGTGAGCTAGCATTTCTACGTTCCTTGAAATACCATGTTTTGTGTATATTTCATATTGTCCACTAAACTAAGTAACAGCTAACCAGATTTACATTTCTCACAGTTTCCAGACAGTGAGCCGGCTTCCCGGGTGACATTTGCTCTGTTGATCGCTTTATGGTGGCGTCAGGGTTGTCTTTACCATTTTTAGCATTCATCTTTACATTGGTGTCTCCAACTTCAATCGCGTCTTGAGACACTAGACCGGTTCCTAATGCCGTCTTTCTTCCAGTGACATGTATAACCCCTAATGCCGCCATAGTTACATTTTTGGGTAAATCATATTTCTCAATTTGCTTTTCCTTAAAGTATCCTCGCCCATAGTAACACTCGTTTTTTAATCGGTTCAATTTGTTACTCAAATAGCATCTAGTCCCTGCTACTTCTCTTTCTATCTCTTCTGGTTTTCCTTATTGCTCACCTGTGCCTTTTTCAGCAAAAGATTGGAGATATTCGCATTTCGAGCCTATTGGTATCCTTTCTCGATTTTTCGCCATTAGCCCATCATTCCCTAATGTTGCTGCGATCGTTTTGCCTATACACGGTGTACCACAGACTAGCCTTTGTCGTCATCCTTTCAACATCTTAGTTCATATTTCCTCTCATCTAATCATTTCATTTCGAACAACTTTCCCTCTGCTTTGCCTTCATTCTCTTGCCTCTCGAACGGGCTAATAGGTTTAACCTGCTTTTAAAAGGGCTTGTCAGACAGGGCAACTTATTTATCAACAGTAGGGAACTGGTTTAAAGCTTTGCGTGATCATTGCGGCATTTTTGTAAACTTTCCTCGCACAGGCTTGAGAATTAGCTACTTCTACGTTTTACTCGATCTATGCATTGTTAACCTTTAACTCTTGATAAAAAAGAATGCCAGTTGATCGTTACAATTTTTTCAACTTTGCAGGATATTTTAACGAAAAATTTTAAAATGAACACGACTTCAATGATTTCGCTTACTGATATAGAACTTCGTTAATTAATAATTATATTTAGCTCAAAATCATCTGTTATGGTGAGAAATATTGTTTCCTCAGCAGCGTATATGTATATCCTCGATTTAAACATTAGTTTCCTTTCTTAGGACTGCTATCCTATGCCTGGCTCCTGCCTTGGTTCTCAAATAAATACTTATGTGCATTTTGCCATAAAAGCTAGGTGAGTAGGCATAGTC